CTCCCGCCTCCCTCCCCGCCTCCCTCCCTCCCTCCCTCCCCGCCTCCCTCCCCTCCGCCGTCGCGTAGCTATCTCACCGGAGGCGGACCGGGGCAGGTGCACGACGTTGGCTTCTGCGAGGGCGCGCGGCAGGCGATCTCCCGCAATCTCCCGCAATCTCCCGCAATCTCACGCAATCTCCCGCACTCTCCCGCAATCTCCCGCAATCTCCCGCAATCTCCCTCCGGCGCGCGGCAGGCGTTTGAGCTCACTCTGTCAAACATCGGCCGCGTCGCCGTGTTGGCAGCTGGGGAGCGGCGACCCTAGAAGCGGAACATCTCCCCGTATCCTCCCCCATATCTCCCCATATCTCGTGTTGGCAGCTGGGGAGCGGCGATCCTAGAAGCGGAATATCTCCCCGTATCCTCCCCCATATCTCCCCATATCTCGTGTTGGCAGCTGGGGAGCGGCGATCCTAGAAGCGGAACATCTCCCCGTATCCTCCCCCATATCTCCCCATATCTCGTGTTGGCAGCTGGGGAGCGGCGATCCTAGAAGCGGAATATCTCCCCGTATCCTCCCCCATATCTCCCCATATCTCGTGTTGGCAGCTGGGGAGCGGCGACCCTAGAAGCGGAAGATCTCCCCGTATCTCCCCCATATCTCCCCATATCTCGTGTTGCAGCTGGGGAGCGGCGTCCCTAGAAGCGCAAGACGCGCTCCTGTCTCCCAACCAGCGCTCGCGAGGACACGCACTCTTATCTCCCCATATCTCGATCTCCCACGCCGGAGCGCCATATCTCCCACCATCTCCCACGCCGGAGCGACTTCTCCTCTCGCTTGGTAAGCTGTCCGTATCTCCCCGTATCTCCCCGTATCTCCCCATATCTCGATGTGTTCGGCCGAATTCCGCTGTCCTCACTGTATTCGGAGCCCCGTGGGTTCACGAGCTGTCTGAAAGCGCTGCACAATGCCGTCCTCCCGCCCCCAGGTTGTCGTATTCGGCACGCACGAGCGACGCCTCCTCCCATCTCTCCCCACATCTCTCCCCATATCTCCCACCATCTCCCACGCCGGAGCGCCATATCTCCCACCATCTCCCACGCCGGAGCGACTTCTCCTCTCGCTCGGTAAAGCTGTCCGTATCTCCCCGTATCTCCCCCGTATCTCCCCATATCTCGCAGGAGCGGCTGCTCCTCTCGTTGGGGAAGTTGTCGATCGCCTCGGTCGGCACCGCCGCCGTCGCCGCCGCGCTCTCGACGCCCCTCACCGCCTTCAGCGCCGCCGACAACGGGTCTGGCGTCGCGTGCTTCGCCTTCCTGCTCATCTATGCGATCGCCAACGCGTGGCTCGTCGTCTTCGACGCCGCCGTCGAGGCGATCTTCCTCTGCTTCCTGGTCGACCAGGCGAGCAATCTCCCGCGATCTCACGCGATCTCCCGCGATCTCCCACAATCTCCGACAGTCTCTGACGGTGTCTCCCGTACTACCCCGCAATCTCCCGCAACCTCCCGCAATCTCCCGCAGTCTCCCACACATCTCCCCGCCAGGCGGAGAACGACGGCGAGACGAGGCCGTACTACGCTTCGGCGGCGCTGCGCAGCTACATGGAGGCGCACAGGCCAACCTACGTGCTGCCGTCGATGAGCTTAGACGACGACGAGCTGTCGCACGCCATCCAACAGATGGGCGGTCTTGACCAGCTGGGTCTTGACTCGCTCGAGCCGCCGCCGCCGATGCGCGCCGTCGCCGGGTGACCTCGGGTCGCCTGGGGCGATCTCTCGCCTGGGGCGATCTCGGTCAATCTTGCGGTCGCCGGGTGAGCGGCGCGCGCGTTGTCTGCGGCGCGGTTTCCCTTGCCGCCCACGGCTATGCTGCAGCTGCTGCTGTTGGCTCTTCTGTTGCTGTTGCTGCTTCGCCAGTGGCTCAGGTGCTCGCTCGGCGCCCACCGTTACGGAATCCCTGTGGCATGGCGCGCGTACCTGACCCGCGGAGGGGCTGCCTTCGGTTTGTCTATTGACGGCGCCGGCGGCCGCATCTCGCTCTGCTCTGACCACTATACTTTCGGAGTCCGCCCGCTCGCTCCGGACTGACTTCCTTGGAAGGTGTAATTTATTCGATATATATCGACGAACCTTCTGAAGTACTGAGCACACGCTTCTCAAAACTGTCCTGGCTTGTGGCCGCCCTCGGGTCGCCTGGCGCCAGCCGCAGCCCTGAGGCTGAGCCGGCCGGCGGGCCGCCCTCCGTGCACCGGCGCGTACGCGGCACGGCGCACGCCCACATTGGTCATTGCTCATTGGCTTTGCGGGTTTGCACAAATGCGCGCTACTCCTCCTTCTTCTGTGGCTGCTCCCGTCTCTGGAGCTCGTCGATGCGCCGGAGCAGCTCCTGCTCGCGAGCTCGAAGCTGCGCGATCTGCTCCGCCGCTGGTGAATTTGCTTCTTTCCTCACACGCCCTCCACACCACCAGTTAATCGCAGAACTGAGAATAATGATCAGGAGTACTATGCCGACCACCGCTGCGGCCGCCGCGCTGAGAGAGGATCCTCCAACACCCTCGTCGGCCGCAAAGAACTCGAGATAACGCACAAATAGGCCGCGGCTCTCTGCGGGCATGTTGCCAAAGTTGACGCCCGTCTTGTTTCGATTGTTGCGTTTGAAATTCGATTCACCGATCTTCAAGTGAGTCCTGCAACGGTGCCTGCAGAATTTTACAACAAGGCGCGCGATACACAACAAAGCAGAAGCGAGGCATCTTGTGAAAGAGGTAGGTAGGTAGAAAGGTGAAGAACAGCCAGGCTCAGACTAGATTGCAGCGGCCAGCAATTATCGCGCTGCTTCGCATTTGGAGACTCTGCTCTGCGAAGTAGACCGACTCACTGCCTCGACGTATTTTGTTGGCACCTTTTCGTCACAAGTCTCACGTCTAGTATTTGAGCTCAAGGTGGCGGCGGATGAGTTCCGCGGCGGGCGCATTTCTGTCGCCTCGCGGCCGTCCCACTCTCGTCGGTCTCTCCCTTGTCACTTCCTCCTCTGTCGCGTCGTTCTCTTCTGCCTCGTCCTGCGACGCCGCCGCCTGCCGGTCCCTTGTTGCCAGTGTGCTGTGAGAGAGGCTTGTATCTTAAGAATTCTTTTGTTGAGTTTCGGCTCTCTGCTGTTTTCTCGCCCCCCGCCTCGCCACGCCCGAGGGCTCGCCCTGGCGGCCTCCCCACGCGCCCTGGCGGCCCGGGTGGTTTCCGACTCCGAGTCCGCCTGCCGCGCCGCCTCCGAGGGCTCGCCACGCCTGCTCGCCCGCATGCTGCTCCGCCGCCTCTCACCGGGCTTTTCCGCCGCCGCCGCCGCCGCCAGCGCCGCCGCGTCTGCCGCCGCCGGTCGCAGCGCCCTTTGCGACGCCAAGAAGGAGCCCACGACGCGGCCGTCCGGCAGTCCTGGCTGGACATACACGAATGTCGGGGAGGCCGAGACGGATACGGTGGTGCGTGAAGCGATGCAGCGGCTGAGCAGCAGCGACGAGGCGCCGGACGCGGCGGCGGCGGCGAAGCGGAGCGCCAAGACCAAGCCGCCCAAGGAGCGCAAGCCCTCCGAGGCGCCTGCGCCCGACAACCCGGGCTGGTCGTACACGAACGTGGGCGAGGCTGCGGCGGACGTGGTGGTGCGGGAGGCGATGCAGCGGATGCGGACGGAGGAGGGGCCTGCCGAAGCAGAGAGCCAGCACCCCCTCCACACCACGCCTCCCCGGGGAGGAGGCGGTCTGCGCCGCCACCTGACGGCTGAGCAAGGGCTTCAGCGGCTAAAGAGGCAGTCCACCGACGTCGGCGGCCAGCAGAGGTACCGGGCGGGGCTCGAGGTCCAGATCCTGTACGTGCCGTATGCGGTGCTAAACATGGACGTCGGCCACCTGGCGGTGCTGGTCAAGGACGAGGACCAGATGGGACCTCCGACCACCTTTGGCTTCTATGGACAGGGCTTCCGGAATGGCCTCCCTGTCGTCTCGCACGAGCCTGGCGTCGTCGTGTCTCCGTGCCCGCTCTACGCAAAGGCGCTTGCCAACCCGACGACGCGCCGACAGATCATGTGCTTGCACCGCGGCGAGCTGACTGCTGATCAGGCAGAGAAGCTGAACGCGTGGGCGGAGATGCAGGGCGAGGAGCACGGCGGGCATCTGGTCGAGGTGCGCGGACACGAGCGCGGAGTCGCACCGATGGCGGGGGAGTCCTACCAGGGCGCCCGCGCGCTGAGGCCGCTGCTGGAGGCGGACAACTGCGCGACGTGGGCCCTCCGCCATTTTGCTCCCGACGGCGCCATCGAGTGCCCGATGGGCGGGTCGTTGCCTCGCTTGTGCCGCGCCGTCGCCGCGGGCGAGCCGCTTTCGCCCGGCAGCGGCTCCGCAACGCCAGAGAGCTTGAGGGCGGCGGAGCGAGCGAGGGCGCTGGCGGCCGAGCAGCTGCCGGCGGAGCGGCAAGAGTATGAGGGCGCGCCGCGGTTGCCTTCGGACGGCTCTTGACGCTGATCGCAGTGGCAGGTCGCGCTTGGCTGGTCCAGCCCCGTTGCACCTCCCCGCCGCCGCCGCTCCTCTACTTTCGCTCTGCACGACCAGTGAGTGCCGGTGTTCGCTGCTTCGCTCCCGCTCCGCGGTGAGGAGACAGTCACTGGAGAGGGCAATCACGTGACTCAGCCTCAGCGTGTGCATGTGGTAACTTGTGACTCGGCATGCATACATGTGCGGGCGACCTCACACCATAATGCATAAACACAGCGCGGATCGCTGTCGAGATACGCACGCGCTCGCTCGCGACGGCACACTTGATCGTTGATGGCTGCTCTCGGGCCTCGCCCTCGGCGTTATGTGACGAGAGAGTCTGAGAGAGAGAGACTCATCACGTTGACACGTTCATGCTCACGTTAAAGCGTATCTCGCGAGAGCCTGGGAAGCTGGCTGCTGCCTGTGAGGTGGTGACGACGATAAAAAATGCCACACCGGCGCGGTGCAACGAAAAAGCGAGTGAACCAGTGTCCAGTCGGGCCTGACTGTGTTTTGCGAAACGCTCGCCCTGGGGACAGCGCCGCCGCCGAGGCTGCAGCGGCTGAGTCCACGGTCAGGGTGCCGAGCTATTGTGTAAACGCTCCGTAGAGAGCCACCAGACAGAGAGTGGCTCAGCCGACAGTCCCAGGCCCCGGCGGGCCCCAGGTCCCAACTCCAGAGACCGCCTAAGCACCTAAGCGGCCTAAGCGGGGGGGCGCGTGCTGACATTATCATACGAGTGATCCTGAGTACCCACATGATGTGCCTGCCTATCGCTAAGCACGGGATTGCGGCCTCACAACGCTCACGATCCGGTCGAGCCCTCGAATATCACACGCACGCACGTGGGGTGCCGGGACGGCTACAAACATGTACATGACATGTCGGCGTCGCATGCATCCGCCAGCGCTGCGAACTCCTTGTCCATCCGATTTTTGTACGCGTGCATCGCTGACTTGCCTCCTCCGCATCTACATGGTCCAAGAGATCGCCATCAAAAACCCAAGCTACGGAGTGGAAGCCGCGGTCGTCGGGACCACTGCCAAACCTGCCAGAGACAAGGTACTCCAAGCCCAGCCGCGCAACACGCCGCCGACGCCGCGTCGCCAGTGGCTGAACCACCCACGGGATTCATCGCCTCTGGGTAGCGAGTGGTCTGTACGGCTGCGGTCAATGGGGATAGCTCGTCGATCCTGCTCCTTGACCTCCTCCCCCTGGTACGTCTCTCGCGAGTCGCCCGCAAAGTGCTCCCAATTGGGCGGGTTCTCCCCCCCTTGTGCTACTCGCGGGTGATCGGCCACCACGGTGCGCTGCCGCTTCTCGTTGGGTGACAGCGGCAGTGCCCCTCTCATTCTCTCGAGCCGCTGCTGGGCTCGGTTCAACTGCCGCTCAGCTGCGCGCACATGGGCTTCGGCCAGCTGACGGTCCATCAGCAGCGCCATTGTTGCCGCCCACAGAAGCTTTGGCGCGTTGGCTGTGAAGCCAATCGAGCGCCAGCACCATAGTGATAGCACTCGGATCGGGCTGCTCGTCGATCCAGGCGGCCAGTAGTTCCAGCCACTGCAGCGCCACCCGCGTGATATCGCGCGAGGTGTTGACGATCTCCCCCCACAAGTTGCGCGCCTCCATGTAGCGCGCGTTGGCGGTGTTTGTGCGGAACGTGACGAGAAGCCCCAGCGCAAGCGAGGGCAGCACGATGGGCTCGGGCGGCATATAGAGCGGAAACTAGAATGCAGACACGCCCTCCGGTGAGTCTCAACCAGTAGATCTCAGCTCGGCAAATGCGGATCGTGGCCTCTGCAAAGTGGTTAAAGGCCGACAATGCGGCGGATGTTGAGAAGATGAGCGCCAGGTCGGGGAACAGGATGCGCTGCGTGGCGGCGGAGTAACCCCAGGTGACAAAGTGTCGGATGTGCCGTTTGGGATCCTTGTGCAGCCTCCACCTGAGCGTGTGGGCGGACGATGGGTGGGCAATGGAGTTGCCCACTGCCGTGGCGTCAGGCTTCGCACTTCTCATGGTCGAAATTCTGGTCGCGCGTGGGCATGTCGCGGTCCTGACGCGTGGCGTGCCCCCCCTTCTCCATTGATATCCACGACGTCACCTACCGCCGGTGGAGCTCAGGGTGGTTGAAACGCAACACCGATCCCATGCAAACGTGCGCAGCGAGGCGGAGCGGATCCAGGAGGGATACTCACAAGCGGCGTGGCGCAGCACAGAGGCGCGAGGTATGGCCTGACACCGTCTACGGCCTTCACCTCGGTGCGCCAGCTATTTGCCCATCCCCGCAGGCCAGAGGTGGCAACAGAGCTAGAGGAGGACCAGCGGCGAAAAAGGAGCGTCGCGCTCCGCTGGCGCAGCAGCATGAGCGCACGTGGCCTCTCTCCAGAGGCGGCGCGCCCCGTTGCGCGCAAACGGGAGCGCCGGCAGGGGACGCGCCCGGCGAGAAATCGAATCCGCGTCGTGGCTATATGAACAGAATCAAGGTAAAATACGAAAGAAAACTACCCTAATTTCCTCCTCTCAGAACATTAAGCCTTCCTCCCTCGGCGATCAGAATATGATCCCCTCGGCGCTCCCTGATTAGATGATGAAATCACCCCTATCACCTTGCCCACGTAAGCCCCCCCACGCGACCCCCCACGCGACTAGCGACAAGGCTGATTAGGCGAGCAGCCCCCCCGGTCCCAGGCAACGGTCGCCTCGGAGGCCGCCTCTATACGCGCAAGCCCCCGCTCGCCCTCCGCCGCAGACAATGGCTGCTCCGTACCCGGTTTGCGAGGAGGTCGAGCCGCAGGCCGCCGCGATCGAGGAGGTCGAGACCCGCCTCAACAAGCTCGGCAAGTCCAAGCCCGTCGACCTCTCTGCATTCTCCTGGCTGCAGTGGTCGCCGCCCACCGACTCCAAGTGCGGCCAGGTGTGTGGCGGCTCGCCCGTCGCCCGCACCCCGGTTCTCTCTGGACCCCGCGCCAGAGCTGACCCCGCGCCCTCCCCGGACCCCACCCAGACGCTCTCTCGCTGCTTCCCCGGCGCCCTGCCTGGCCCCGCGGTGGTCGCCCGCACCAAGGTGCTCGAGAAGCTGTACGGCGCGCCGCCACCCGCCGCCCTCGCACGGCACGTTGACCGTCTCAGCCCACCACCTACACCCTTCCCTTGGCCCGCTCAGGCCTGACGGCGGAGAACACCATCTACGGCCAGTCCATCTGCCCGGACGAGATCAACAACGAGAAGGGCGACCTGGCGACGCTGATGGCGGACCACTGGGGCGAGTGCTTCCCGATGGGCGGCATCGGCGGCGCGCCCTTTGTCGGCAAGACTGGCTTTGGCGCCTTTTCGCACCACGTGCCGGATGACGGCCACATCATCATCCTGTTTGGCCCGCACATCGCCATCTCGGACGAGGGCGAGCTGGGCAAGTACCTGCGCGAGGGGCAGGTGCACGAGTCGACCGCGTGCGGGGCGGTGCTCGGCGCGTACGCCGCCTGCAAGTGCGGCCAGGCCGGCGAGTTTGACGAGATGGATATGCAGCAGTCGTGGCTCAAGCAGCGCATCAACCGCCGCTTCGGCGAGATCGAGTCCTCGGACGATCAGATGAAGGCGCTGATCCACGTCGCGTACGAGGCGGTTAAGGAGAAGCTCCTCGGCATCATCAACACCGACTTTGGCAGCGGCAAGCTCATCTTGGTCGGAGGCATCCAGATCAACATGCCCAAGCCGTGGGAGGACCACTTCCAGCCGCTCTACTATAAGGTGCACCAGAAGGGCGCCGAGCCCGTCGACATCCTCGACGACATGTGCTCCTTCTAGCCGTAGAGCGGATATGAGAGTGCGCTCCCTCTAAGCAGGGGGCGCTGCGCTGGGCTATGAGCCGCTGTGTAGTGTGTACGTCTACCCGTGTATAGCAGGGGGCGCTCGCTCGGGTTTAAGAAAGTGGGGTGCACCGCATGTGGCGCCCCATCTTTTAAGAAACACACATGATCATTGTCCCGCTAACGTGCAGTATCCGGGAGGGAGGGAGTGGGGTGCAGGTTGCTCACCCACACGGCACCGGGCCGCGCGGTGCGCGGTTGCACTTTGAATGCCGTGGGGCTCCTGCCCGTGTCCGGGCGTGGAGATGGGAGGCAGGGTCGCCCCCCCTTGCCACACCACCTTGTGTGTGGAGACGTTTAAATAAATAAATAAAAACGGACACCTCTCTACTGTGAGATGGGTAAAAAGGACGAACAGAGGTCCCCGCCCGTGGCCGGTGCGATCCGCTTTGTGCAGGGGGTTCTTTGTGGGTGTGGTCGGCGACTAGCCGGGGTCGTCCTCCCGATGGGGGACTAGCACTAGCTGTCTTCCACATTGTCCCTCGGGTCCCTGCTGCTCCTAATCTTTTCGTACATCCTCCTGCTGATCTCCGCAACGTCTGGCCACACACACTGGAGTGTGGAGACGTTACACCTTACGTACGCTTACCTTAGTCCGTACCTTTTTTTCTGTGTGGCATTGTACACACGGAACACGCCCTCTGTGCTCTGACTTTTCGGTCCAGTCTCCAGTCGGATGTGATGCGCTCTGTCGGCAGGACCAGGAGCACACACATACACACAGCTCACAGCCAACGGTAACCCGCAAAGCAACTCGCCCCCTAGCTCGCCCCCGCACGCCCCGATACGCAACACACGCCCCACCCCACCCCCCGCCCGTCCCAACGT